GCCACAAATGGGCAAAATATTATCCCGAATAATAGACGACGAATAAACACGACTCGCGACGGATTCATTTCCACCATTTACTCGATCGTTTTTACTCCGTTATTGAAACATTAATTTTCACTCGACCAGTAACGACTAAAAGGTTCCTTTGCATCTTTTATTCGTTACACCAGATTTATATCCGAATTTTGTCCATCTGTGTTTTCAATTCTTCGTATTCTTCCACTCGATATTTTCCTCTGGGTCGTTCTCGTCCTCGATGAGCCGAGCCGAAACGGGCCCAATAAAAAGGCTTATATCACTAGAGCAAGGATTTCAGGCACGAGAAGAGCATTTAGGAAACACCGAGGCCCTTCCACGGTTTCGAATCAACGGAAAACGCGAAGATACGCAAGCGAAGGGGGGACAACGAAGAAGACACAGTGAATTATTTCGAACGTGGATGCACAATTCAATTTTTTTTTTTTTAGGGTCATACTCGTCTGGATCGGGTCGAGACTAGTGATGGGATCGACGCAGTGATTAATTTTATAATTAATAACTAATTTGTCGCTAAAACGATGTTTATAAAAGTCTACAGTACCGTTATTCATTATTTCACACTCTGTGCTGTACAACTATAATTCTAGACGCCCATGTTCTTTGCAGAACGTTTGCAAGACATTTCGCGACTGTACAAATAATTATGTTTTCTATTTAATAAAGTATTCTCGAATACAACGTATAGGACGTAAATGTAAATTTTGTTAAAACAATTTGGCACTGGATGGGTTAAAATATATCTAAATCTCAGTCAATGGGTATTAACTTCGTAACGTTAGAGAACAAATATTTCTTTCGTGAAAAGATTATTTTTTCCCGCTTAATAAACTATTTTCGAATACAACATATAAAAAAGAAATAAACGTCAACTTTGAAAGAACAATAATTTGGCACTCAACGGGTTGAAATACTTCTCGACTCCAGTCAAAAAGCATTAACTTCGTAACTTTAAAGAAAATATATTTCCTCGCGAAAAAATTATTTTATCACGTTTGCCCTTTTACGCTAATCAGAAAATCTAGACGGCAAAGGGTTAATAAAATGTTATTTGAACGCAATATATACAAAATGAATATCAATGTAAAGCAATAATATTCAATGATATTCGGTCGGTCGAAATACGTCTCGATCCCATCGCAAGTCGAATTGGAAAAATAACACAATAACAGGGGAAGCGAACGTGAGCTAACGCGTAATAGAAACTAGAAAAGACAACGTCCGATTCAACGGACAAACAAACGGGCGTAATTCGTTATTATCTTCGCGACGGCTAAGCGCACGTTAATCATTTGTCAGCACCAATTATCCGTAACCAGACCCGGGCACTTACGAAATAACATTACTCGAAGTATTAGTTCAAATAACACATTATTTCAGGTTCATAATTATTTTCATATCTTTGATCTCTTTTAAAATAACACTATTTGAAATATTATATCAAATAATACGTTATTTTCTTTTTCATAATCATTTGAAATAACTGTTTGAAATAATTGTGAAATTGTTCTTCGAAACGATAGGTAGACCTCTTTTTCAAACGGTTATCTCCAATAGTCATTTCAACGAAAATATACCCAGGTCTGTCCGTAACATCCATCAACGACTCGACGTATCCTCGCCTCGCAAATTATACTTACAGTCGTGTAACTCCATTACCGACGTAAAAATTGTATCGAATACGTGCCACGAGAAGCAACGAAATCAAATTCGAGACAAGATGCTACGGTGGCTCCGTGCTTCGACAACCAATTAATTTCAGAGAACAAACGTAGTCGTGTTTCAGAAGTTTCCTAGCGCGCGCGCACGCGCGCGTGTGTGTGTGTGTGCATGGATGCACCCAGTACTGTACGCGAGTAACCAGCGTAAACGTATATTATATGTACGACGCACGAATCGAACGTTCGAATCGCTAATAAAATTTCAACCCGTCATGAGAGCTGAGCACCTAAAGGCTCGTTTCTACGTACGTATTTTCACTACTTACGAAGAATAAACCGACGAGGAGTGCAACGTTAACGAAATACCGATAGAAATTTCTGTGTATCGTGTAATAGATCGTAGTGGTGTAAGTGTCTGTATACGTACAATGTACAGGCTGCTCACTATAAAGCGTTACAAGCTATCTTCATATAAACCAACGTAGTATATTAGAAATAGAACGGTTTAAAGAAATGTGTTTCAGTTTTGTAAGACCTAGCCAAGTAACAAAAAATTCATAAAAATTTATTACACACTAGAAGATTGAGCACCCCTGTATCATGTAATTATAAAGAAAAAATTATGGCGATATCTTCAGCAGTTGCTGAAAAAATAGCTTGTAACATTTTATACAGGACACCTTGTATACGTATATGTATAATGATATATATATGTATATATATATATTCATTCGTTTATTCAATGTACCAACTAATCGTGGAAAGTGGAACAGGCTGTGACTCTATTCTAGGTGAAGGTACAAAAAATTGATACAGGACACAGTTGAATTCTCTAATAAAGACTATAATAATAATAATAATAATAATAATAACAACAGTAGAAGTATTAGTACTAATGGTAATAATACGTCTTTATTGTATCAAGATTTAAGGTTAAGTTTAGAAGCAGCACCCAAGATGTGCCTCGCGTAGGGCTATATATTTTTTCTCTCTTAATACCTAAATGATGGCAACGTGCACAAAGCATGCATTCATTTTACAAAATTTTACCTTTCGACAACCTTTACCTTTCGTTTATTCGATCTTGCCTGCGTCAATAATTCAAATAAATAAATGGTAGATATCCCGCCTAATTAAAACATAAAAGTCAATAGAATTTCATACATACGTCCGGTACGAAGATGAGGTACAAATATATGTTATAAGCACAACCTCGAAAATTATCTTCTCCTACCACAGTTTAAATAAAATAGTAAACGAAACACTGATATTGTCTTCGCGTAAATCGATTCTTCTCGTTGAAATATGATCGCCGAAAACGGAATACGAAATGTTTCGTAATTTATGTCTGCATTCAAGCACGCCATCTGAATGTTGAAATATGTAGTTATTATGTTGGATTACGTAGTACCTGAGCGTGACTATAGTCGAACCGTAAACCACGTCGTAAACACATTTCGAATCGTCGTCGATTTTGTTTGTTAATAATGGATTGGACCAGTTTGAAACGTACAATAAATGCTGATAAGTAGAAAATTGATATGTACCGGTACATTTGTGAGATACAGTGAGCGTGGATGGATGCCGTAGAGACACGTTGTATTGAATATTCTGATTGGATGTAACCGCTACAAAGACGTTTTCGTAAGGTATCTGAAATCTAATCTAGAAGAGAAAATTCAAAATAATTATTCATTTAAAACTGCTATTCGATTTAAAAATGTACTGAAAAATTTAACAAATTAGAAATATTCAAATCATAAAATATGAAATATCTCGCAAAATTACATTCTCAATAGTCATATTTGAATACTTTTATATGTAGAATAACGAGAAGAATTGATTTCTAAAAAAAAATGTCAGTGGTTCTGTTCACTCGTAGAGGACTTGTAGTCTTTCAAGTGATACCACACATTTTCATATTATTTATCCCTTTTTTTGGTTCTTCTAACAACTAACTTGTGCTTAATTTTTGCATTTACTTATTATTCATTTAAAACTGCTATTCCATTTAAAAATGTACTGAAAAATTTAACAAATTAGAAATATTCAAATCATAAAATATGAAATATCTCGCAATATTACATTCTCAATAGTCATATTTGAATACTTTTATATGTAGAATAACGAGAAGAATTGATTTCTAAAAAAAAATGTCAGTGGTTCTGTTCACTCGTAGAGGACTTGTAGTCTTTCAAATGATACCACACATTTTTATATTATTTATCCCTTTTTTTTTGGTTCTTCTAACGATTAACTTGTGCTCAATTTTTGCATTTCCTCTGCCGTGTCTTGTGTCATTCAATATGTTAGCTATTCAAAATCTTCCACACCTTCTTCAACTGTGTCCGTTCATTAAAAATCCTAGCTTTATACGTATATCTTTTAATTTTGTACGTAACTTTTCAGTTTTTTGCCCTTATAAAACTTTTTACGCAGTCATTTTTGTCAAATTGGATTTGCTATAACATGAAATAATACCTTCCTTTACATATCTTGTTTTTCCCTTATAAACTTGTTCAATTATCCGAACTAGCAACACTTCATTACTAATGTTTCTCTAAAATTTTACATATAGCCCATATAGCCCATTTGAAAATAACTTCCTCGCACCTTTCTTCATTTTATGTTTCTTTATCTTTTCCCATATCTAAATAATTATTACACTTCACAAAGTATATTAAATCTGAAGATCGTAAATAAATCAATCGAAAGGTCGTGCACTTCTCTCAAACACGTGTAATTGCACTTGTTCTAAATAAGCTAAATTATAATACACCCATCTCGAGCGACTTACATCCGATACAAAAATAAAAAGAAAAAAAAAAAAGAAGATAAGATTTTATTTACCTTCTCGCGTCTATCTTCTCCATCAATCTTTCAACGATTTTCGCGTAGAAAGAAGCTACAGCCTGTCCCAGTTTCCACAATTACTCTGTACATTATATGTATATGTATATATATATACTCTGGAAGGCGACAGTAGAACTTACTGAAGTAAATGCATAATAATGTACGCGAAGAACGAGGACAGCAGTTAGGAAATTTTCGCGGTTTCATTCAATCGTGGGGCAAGCACGATTTCCCAACGCGATCATTTGCAAGTTTTATTCTCGTCCTTTCCTCGGCTTAACCTTGCCACGCTTATCGGATTCGTTCGACGAATCCGTTCGACCCCGATCAACGTCATGTTTCAACACCTATTCTAGCGCGACGCTACCAACGTGCACGCGAACACACCTTATTCTTTGGTAAAAATACGCTCGAGAAGTCGCGTGTTGACTTTTTGATAAGGTGAGAAGTAAAAAGAAAACAACGATGGGTCGTTCGGATGTGCCTGTACCCGTGACGATTCCTGGAACCGAGACTCAAGCAAACCGAAACCCAAGGCATACGAAGCGGAAAAACAACGAAAAGAGAGTGTTTACAGTTTGGATAGAATCGTGGGGGGGGGGGGAGGGGGGGGGACGGGGGGCGGGGGAAGGAAGAAGATGACGGTGAAAGCCCTGAGTAGCAAAGAGGAAGATGAACCCCAGGAAATGGCGGGGAGGAAACGTATGGCGAGGTTACAACTAACGAGAAAAAACTCTATCCGTTTAAACGTGTTGCACGAACTCTGGATTGAGAAACGAGAAACCCATGAACTCTGTCTGGTCCAGGTTCATCATGAACAACTTGTCCGTGGGTGTCAAATCTGTCTTCTCCGATGTGAACTGTTTATCGAAGTTACTCACGTCCTTGCGATGTTTCTGGCGAACGAAACGAGAGGCATTAGCGTTCCAATTGCGCGCATACCGTCGGTTAGATAAAGTAATCCTCGCTTGTATGTCACGTTCAGGATCGTCCTAGTTGGTTGTTACTCTTTATCCTGGCGCTTTGGCAAACTTTGTTCGCTCGCGACTAAAATTATTAACAACCAGGCCTTAACAAACACCTTTGTAATATTAATATCGAGGATCATCAAGCTAACAAACACACTTCAGAATTGTTCCCTTATTAGTTTTGTGATTAAATTTGTTTCTTGACAGAGAGAAACGTGAAGCATACAACGAAAGTGTTACCTTTCTTAAATTAAACACAAACGAACCGATCCATGTGACGACATAGAAGCAGGGATTATTGTACGTATTAGGTTGTCCCTAAAGTTTCTTTCGCGAGTATACACTCAATTATTTGATGTGATCGTGTTTATATGAATAGACAATCTAATTTCATAGATATTCATGTTTGTAACAGTAACGGAGCAAAATGAATCGTGCACAATTCAGTGATGTAACATAAAACATAAAATATTCCGCATGTATTGCTTATTAATAAAGCGAAAGAAACTTTTGGCACAACCTAATAGATGAGGCATTTAAGACAACGAAAGAATTAATAACAAAGAGCGATTCCTAACAAAACTTCTTTAGAAGCGTCAATGGTATTCCTAGGCCACCGTTTAAAACATTTCATTTCATCGATTAAAAAAGAATCACGACCCGATGTTCTCCCATGAAATCAAACAGCTTTTGCCTCGTGCATTCTTCGCAATCTTCGAACATAAATGGGTTATCCGGATGGGTTGTTTTAAATGCCTCGACCTGCATGGGAATGCATCGATACTCACGATCTTCGGTTTGAACGGTGGTTGCACCTCGCGATTCTCTATCTTCTCCCAATCGATGCGTCGGAAGAACGCGTGACTGCGTACATCTTCCTCGCCCCGCAGCCCGCAGCCCAATCTCTTCACTGGATTCTTTGTGAGGAACTGAACCGCGCGAAACGTACATACAGAGTGACTGCTCGTGAAAGAAATTGCAGTTTAACACGTTCGCCACGACGTGTTGCACACACGCGACGCATCGATTGTTGCGAAAGACGCGCGTGCCAAGTCTGGCATCGACCGTTTTTTATTTCAGTCATTAGAAGGGATTTTTCTTTGGAAGTAACCGTCAACTGAACAGTGATAGCGAACGTGTTGCGGCAATCCCTCGATGTAACGCTTTAAGGGGGTATTATCGTCTAGAAACTTTAAACATTCGATTTTTTTTTTTTTTTTTTTTTTTTTGCATTTTGTTATCATTTGGGGTTTTGAGAAAGTGCCTCTAAAATATTAATTCGAAATTCGTACAGCTCTCATAGTTACAGAGGCTTAAAGGCTGTTCACTAGTGTTAGTGCTAAATGTATAGCAAACTTTAAACGCGTTTTTCTCGAAACGACAGTTTTCAAGTCGGGCGCACACGTTTTCCTCAAAAACTATTGGACCGACCGACTTCTGGTTTTACACGCATTTCGAGGGCACCATCGCCTATGGTCTGAACTAGAATTGTACCGATAGCTTGAATATTTTAACTCTGCTCTCATATTTTAGTTAGCAATTTTCCGGGTTAAGATTTCATTTTGAAAATTAAACCTTAATTTTCAAACGGCTGCGATTCCGATAAAATATTTCGTACTTACTTAATTCTAGTTCAGACGATAACTACATTCATATAGATTGAGAAGAAGATTTATTTTTCTGTCTCAGACGACTAGAACCGCCACAGCCTGTGCGTCCGATTGAACGAGCGTCTCACGCCACAACCTGCATAACAGCGTATAACTTGTACAGATTTCAATGAAGTGTTTCATAAAAATTTGTGCTGTTAGTTGAAACGTGTTTTATTATGCATAAAAAACACTGGTACTGTAGGCTTGATAATTTTCGCAAAATTAATTCCTAAAAATTACTGAAGAAACAAACTTCTAGACGATAATACCCCCTCAACACGTTGGTCGCCATTCGCGTCACGAATCATCCACTAAGGAAAGTTTACATTTCTGTATTTTTCAATATATCCTCGTGAAAGTATCAACAATGGATTGGCGAGACTTTCCCGATGAACGTATTTATGCGTAACTAGATACCGTTATTAAACATATAATTAAAAATATTTCAAACCGTATCGTGTTTGTAGTCATTTTCATCGGGAAAGCCTCGCCAATCCATTAGTAATACTCTAATAATGATATATTGAAAAATACAAAAATGTACACGTTTATCTAAATGCTTGTCGTTACATCGAGGGATTTCTGTGATTAATTGTGTGCGCTCACCGCTTTGCAGATTTCCCTGGCCTCTTTTGAAAGACTCTTCGGATAGCTGACGTTATGATCCGTAATGGCGACGAATAACTCTTCTTCGTCCTCTCCATCGAAAGGAGGCTGACCAACGAGCATTTCGTACAGTAGAACGCCGTATGCCCACCAATCGACCGACTTTCCGTATGGTTGATACAGAATGATCTGCAACGACAGAATAAACGTATCGATTAAACGTACAGGCTTCATGGTGGAGTCGTTTGGTGATGTAGGAGTCTATAACGAAAAATAAGGCACGAGGATTCGAAGCCACGATCCTCGGATCCACAGTCGGCCGCTTTACCTACAAGACCAATCCCGTACCCTACGTTTCGTGTTCTTATTTGACTCCTTATTGTTGGGTATGGGAGGCGCGGATACTACAGTGATAAATATTAGGTTGTCCGAAAAGTTTCTTTCGTGAGTTGCATTCAATTATTTTCTGTGCCAGTGTTTATACAAATAGACAATCTAATTTCTTAGACATTGATGCTGTAACGGTAACGGAGCGAAATGAATTGTACACGATTTTGTAATGTAACGTAAAACATAAAATATTGTGTATGAATGAATTATTAATAAAACGAAAGAAACTTTTCGGACAACCTAATATAAAGGTTAAACCGACTTCTGGAGCAATGTAGTCTGGTGTCCCGCAGAAGGTCTTAGTGGTCTTATCGCCAGTGATACCCTCTTTGCACATTCCAAAATCGGCGATCTTGATGTGACCGTCGTGATCCAGCAAGACGTTGTCCAGCTTTAGATCTCGGTACACGATGCCACGGCCGTGAAGATAGAACAGACCAATTGCTATTTCTGACGCGTAGAATCTAGGGAAAAATAATTTTTAACGTGATATTTTCTTTTTAATTATGGAAATAGTAGCTGTGGTTTATTTAACATTAGGCTTACGGAGCGCGGTGAATTTGTTCATTCCGAATTTCACGAGGTTTTATAAGAGTTAAGAAACCATTTATATTTTTCGTCAACCACTTATGCTGACTTTTATCCATGTAAAAAGGCAGGCATATATCCAAATTCATTTTTGTTCGATCCTCCTAATTAATTTTAGTAAATCGACTTTATTTGTCAAAGCATTACTTCAGTAATGGAAACCTGATAAGAAATCTCTGTAAACCTAGCGTTAACTTTGTTTTAGGGCAGCGTCGATGGTTTTGTGAGTGTTTCATACATTTATAAATTTATAATCGTCTTAACATTTTTAAAATGTCTGACTGTTATAAATGTATAAATTTGTTGTATAATTGTCTGATGGAATCATTAACCTTGAATAATTAACCATCATTTACGTATTTGTAGATAGAAAATGCAGGGAATGCTTACACTGCCACTGGCTCTTTGAACTTTCCGCACTGTTGTATCTGGTACATCAAGTCTCCTCCATTGACGTACTCCATCACGAAATACAGTCGGTCCATAGTCTGGAAACAGGAGTGTAACTGCACCAAAAACGGTGGCTTACTTGATAACGCCAAAACGCGTTTTTCGACCATGGTGCACTCCACGTCGTCGTCCTGAATGATAATGTCCTTCTTCAAGATTTTTATGGCGTACAGCTCGTCGGTACCTTTTCTTTCCGCTAACATCACCTGAAATTCGTTGCGTCGCGTGAATACTGCAGAACTAGAGAGAATGTTTCCGGATGAAATTTAAATTTGGCGAAACAAATTTATGAGGAAAGTTGTGTCGGTATTTTTAGAATTTCGCTATTTGCGATTCTAGGTAATTTATTTACTACCAGAATCCCATAGTTTAAAACATAGGGTTACGTCACTATTATCAGGATTTTATTATTAATAACGCAAGGGTTATTTCACTGTTGTCACGATATCATATTACATAAACTAACTGTAGACTCGGTAGATTGAGGATATTTATGTACTTATAATATTATTGGTTGTCCAAAAATTTCCTTCCATTTCCTTAAATAGTAACACATACACGACATTTTATGTCTAATGTTACGTTATTGAATCGCGTACGGTTCATTTTGCTACATTACTGTTACAACATTAACATCTAAAAAATTAGGTTGTTTATTTATATAAATAGTGTCACACAAAATAACTGAGCGCAAGTCACGGAAGCAACTTTTGGGACAGCCTAATAAATACAAGTATGTATAAAAATATATGAAATATCAGTAACGATGTAGGTACAGATGTAGAGCGTTGATAAAACATACTTTCATTTAAGTTCCAGTTCTTCTTCCGTATTAGAAAAAATATTAATTTGCATAGACATCAATAGTCGACTAATGAGTAATAGGATTGCTATCGTCAAAGTGCACTATGTGAGAATTTTTCTGACTGTGAACATCGCTCAGAGGCATTCTTTACAGCTCGTAACTGTAGATACTTAAGTCTGATTCCCACCGGGGCTCAAGGGGCGTAACGCTCAAGCGACGATCACGCTGCGGTCACGCTCATGGGACATTACACTATTTAACGACCGTGGTCGAGTTAACTTAGGCAATACAGTCGCCACGTAAAGTGAATCCAAGTTTACTGATCGAAATAACACGGTTTAAATCGTTTCCTTATAAGAGGGATCGTAAACATCGCATAATTTCCACCAATCTAGAGGTATGTCCACTTAACGCGTTGGTCGCCACGTCACCCACAAATGGGTGACAGGACTTTTTGTTAAGAAACTAAAAAAGTTAATTCCAAAGGTAAGAGGCAATAGTGAAAATGAATCCGGATAGGATTCGAAAATTTGACGACGTTAAAAAATTCTGTACTACAACGAATGTTAACTTATCTAATCTTCGATAGTCTCGAGACATAATTTTAACTTTGTAACAATTTTCACGAGTTTCAACTTGGCAGCCAACGTGTTAAACATCCCGTCCCTAAAGTCTAGATGAGAATTAGATTCTATCGTTCTATCAGTCAACGAACTTACTTTGCCAAAGCTGCCCTTGCCAAGCACCATGAGGAAGTTGAAGTCGCTCGCCCTGATCAAATCGCTCTTGCCCATGTTGTGAGGCACCTCCTTGTCCTGGGCGGTCGTGGTCTTTTTCGTGACCGAGGTTTTCTAGAAAATTAAATTTCTTCTTTCAAAACCGATCTATGTAGAAGGAACCTCCAATTCAGGGAATTGGATAACCTAAACATCCAATAGAATTTGAAATTTTGCTGAAGTGCAGTAGTTCGAGTGATGTTAAGAAATTCGAATGTTTTTTTAAATAATTAACACGTTGATCGCCACGTCACCCATATGTGGATGATAGTGCTTTTCACCGAATAACTAAAGATATTAATTCTGAAAGTTAAGCATCAAAGGAAATGAATTTAAATGAAATTCATGCATTTTGATGAAGTTACAAAAACAAATACCACGATAGATGTTTGATCATGTAGTCTCCAATAGTCTGGATAATATTTAATCCTAACAGAAATTTTCAAGAATATTTCTCTAGCAGTCAACGTGTTAATTTGCATACCAATAGAAAGAGACTAGCGTGACTTGAGCTACATTTTCGCCCAGTTAAACATTTTATTTGGAATTTTCGAGTTGCCAAACTTTCAAATATTCTCAGCTCTATACCGTCGAACTGAATTTTTTAAGACAATTCCGGTCAACGTACTCGCATCTTGACCTTCAGCTCCGCGAGGTCCACTCCTTCCTCCGGCACAGGTACATTGTAAAAATCTCCTTCCTCTTGAGTGAGGAGTTTGAACCATCCACTGGCTGGTGCTTTCATCAGCTCCGAGATCCCGAAGGACAGGGAGCCCATGAAGTCGTTCCTGGACGTTCGATCCCAATCCCAAACTTCGATCAGGAGTCGTCTGTCTTTGTCTTCTGCTTTCAGGTCGCTGAAAGAACAAACTCTTGCCAATCGCAAGAAACATCGAATCGTCGCTAATCGTGAGTAGCGATGCTGTACAGTCTCAGAACTTCTAAAGTTGAATTTGATTTAAGGTCACTTTTACTCTACTCTGTACAACTTTTCGAGAATCAAAATCCCGTCAATTCCTACATTTAATATATCCAAGATGTTCGAGACATCCAACGTTACGAAAATATTCCGGTGAATTGAAAAGGTCACGTCTTTCAAATTGTCAAGATCTAATTTGGTCCGATGACGTGCTCGATATAACACAGACTTCCATAGTATTCGCTTGCTCGACAAATTTGCTCGGGCAAGACCTTTTGAGAGGTCATCGCTAACCGTAGGTTAACGCGTCACTTACAAAATGATTGTCTCGTTCCATTCTGGGTTTAAGGAGGACTTGATTGTCTTTGTTTTCTTCTTCACGTTGTCCGAATCCGGGATTAACTTCAGCTTGACGTAGGGATCCGACAAGCCGTTCGGATCCATCGGAATGAGGTTTCGCCCCTGCTTCACTGGAATATGGCGAACAGAATACGTGAGGATACATTTGTTGCTTTATTTTTATTACGTAGGTAGCTTATTAAAGGACAAAAAATTACTACGTAATAGCGATACCTGATACATGATAACATATGACGATATATGATTGGGTATGATGGTGTACGATGTCACACGACGATACATGATATTTTAATGTAACATGTGATAGTACTTAACGATTTGTCACGATATATCTTAATATATGATAAAGTACGATATGTATTAGGTTGTCCAG